CAGGTGATGGGCGTTGCGTATCGTTAACAAATATTAACAATATTTAATCGAAACGCCACCAAAACTGGTCAAAACCCTCTAAATGGGCAGCCAAATCAATTAGTAGTTATTATTAGTATATACAGCGTAGTCAAGTGATTTATTACTAATATATTAAGTTAAATTATCTTTTATAATTAATTTTAATTATGTTTGTTTGCGTGGCCTTATACGCTTGGCCTACGCTGGCTAAGATTGGCCTCTATTAACTAAGTTAAACCAGTGTATACCATCAAATCGATAAGAAAAATTATTTTCTTTTAAACCAAGTGGCGGGTCGAACAAGTCGTGCGCCTGGTGGTAAGCGATACGTCTCTCCATAACAGTTGCAGTGCCACTCAGAGGTTTAAATATCGAAGATTTAAGGGGCATCGTCAATGGGCCCATTAATTAGCCTGAGACATAAGTTGACAAGTCCCATGTGCCTGTAATTTCACCAGCACCCTTACCTTTCAAAACCGGTGTAGTAAGTTGACAGGACTTTCCTAGACGAACTCTGACACAAGGAGCTCTAATGCTAGTAATGTATAAATAAATTTTCACGACAAATGTAACAAAAATCCCTGAAGCCGTTCAATAGCTTCTAGCGTCCACAATATTTAATTTATTACGTCATATACCAGAGCCGCTATGATTCGGAGATCACCATTTTTGTCTATATCGGTTGACGTCTTTATCTTTGACGTAATTCAACATAGCGCACTGTTAATACAATAGTGTATTAACTCAAAACGTGTATTTTTTCAGAATTGATGATAAACTAATTACTCATTTCCAGTGACGAATTATTAAAAATTATGTATAGGTTAAAGTTTATATAAGACATCGAAAATATGTCTTAATTGTCAAATATATATAAAAATAAAATAAAGATAAAACTAAAGAAAAAAAAATGTTTTGAGGAAAGATTGTTTTCCTCAGAACTAGCTTACAAAAAAATTTGTTTCATTTTGAATTAAATAAATTATTATATTTTTTTATGATATCAGGTGACGGGACGAACAAGTCGTGCGCCTGATGGTATACCACGCGCCTGTCCATAACAGTTGCAGTGCCACTTACAGCTCTAAAACACAAAGATCTGAGGGGCACTGCCACTGCGCCCGGCACCCTGGGACAAACTTAATAAGTCTCATGTGCCTGTAATTGCAACAGCATCCTTAGTCTTCAAAACCGCTAAAGCTCTACTCTGCTACTAACTACTAAATTTGGTTCGTCCAATATTCTAACCACGGTTTTATTGACTTGTAGAGAATCAACTTTTACGTCCTGAAATGGTATAATCTTGATTTTCACATATTTCGAGTTACAACACTATTGTAATAACATTGCTATATGTAATGCGTGAAAAACATTACCCTCCTTTTGGTTTGTAGTTAAAAAAACGTATTTTAATGACAATCGTTCATCATAAAACACTGTAGAAAGCGTTAATTGTCCGTAGTTAGTTACTTTAGTTGAGTTATAAATTAAAAATTCACCTGAAAGTGCTTCAGTCTGATTACTGAAGTATCTCATTAAAGTTGCTTTTCTAGGCAAGAATTAAGGTTGAAAGTGGATTAATAAAACTGCTGCGGCATAAGTAGATTTAAAAATTTTTTTTGCGCACTCAGAAATATTATTACCATTAAATATCAATTCATAAAAATCGATACGTCCAATGAACAAAGATTTCGCTTTTTGTTACGTTTGTAAGCAGCCATATTTATTTACTAATATTAAGCTTTCCGAATTTTGTGAATAAAAAATAAAAATAATAAAAAGAAAATTCGAAAAAAAAGAATAAAGAAAATAAAAACAGAACAAGTCCAAATAATAAGTTCGCGTAGTGGAAGTATCGAAAGTAACTTTAGAACATATTCGACACTTGGATAAAATAAAATAATATAAAGAATTGAATCTCGAAACTTGGGGGAAATATCATACTAAATAAGAAATATAAAATATAAAAAAAGAAATGCAACATTATTTAAAAAAAAGAAATATTTTAGGAATGTTGAATTACAATTCATTTACAATAATGATAATTGGTGAAAACATTAAACTGTCGTTGAACACATGAGAAATAGAATGTTTTGGTATACTTTTTAATTTGTTAGTTTGCAGTAAACTGTCAAGATACTAAACTGTGTAGAACGTTTTAGTATTTACTTTTACTTTAAAATATTAAAAGTACTGAATCAATTTCTTTGTGATTTTATTACATTTTATTGTATATGAAATCACCGCCTGAATGAGAGCAATAACCTTAACAATAATGTAATTGCTGCCATCTCTTGGCCTTTTCGAATATTACTACAATCGCATCGCGGCTTCGTTTAGTGCCATCTATTGGTCAGCGTTAAGAATCAAAATAAGGTTCCGAATCAGCGGAGTTGCGAGTGCCATATTTAATTTTTTTTTGTATGAATTTGGGTATCTGTATTAATATAGTATTATATTATCTATCTGTCCGCGATAACTGGACATTTTTGTAGTAATTTAGTGAGACATACCGGTGTTACTCAGTTTTTAAAAGCAAACATTCACCACTAATCTTCCTATAAGTATTAATATAAAATATGTATTTTTATAAGCAGTAGAGCTCCTTATAAGTTCGTCCAGGGAAGTACTGCCACCTTACCTATTTCTGTCGCCAAGCAGTAATGTTAGCATTACTGTGTTCCGGTTTAAGTGAAGGGTAAGGGGTGCTGGTGAAATTACAGACACATGGGACTTGTCAACTTATGTCTCAGGGTGACAGGCGCAGTGGCAGCGCCCTTCAGAACTTTGCGATTTGAAGCTCTGAGTGGCATTGTAACTGTTATGAACAGGCGTGTCGCTTACCATCAGGCGCAGGACTTGTTCGTCTCGTCACTTCTTACTATATAAAAAAAAAGTGTACTTTATAATATGGAGAATCTCCTTTCAACCTTTTTATGAGAGTAAATAAGTGGAAAGCAGTCTTGCAGTTCTTTTAATTTTACAATCGCATTACGTATTCTGTCTTTTTCATTCTACTACAAAATTTTTTCCTTCCAATTTTTAAGTCTATTCTGCCATCCTGCAATCTTTTTCTTAGTCTGCTTCGTCGTTATTGATCGTTCTCCGGCCATCCACCGAGTGGCCGTGTGATCCCATCTCGATGGGTGCACGCGACGTGTCCAGTCAAGTAACCCTTTCCTTAACATCGGTTATGCGAGTCTTCGACCGTAGCAGTTTTCCAATAATGAAAAATATAGTAAACACATGTTGTTTGTTGACGAACTCTATGGTCCAATCTTTTGCACTGTAGGCGCTGAATGAGCAGTTCCCCGGTTTGATTTCCGGTAGTACCAATTCGGGAAACTACTGCCGCCTTGCTTAATTCTGCCGCTAAACAATAATGTCAGCATTACTGTTTCAGTTTTGAAGGTTGGTGAAATTACAGTCACATGGGATGTGTTAATTTATGTCTCAGAGTGACGGGCGCAATGGCAGTACTTCTCAGATCTTTGCGTTTTAAAGCTTTGGGCGGCAATGCAACTGTTATCGCTTGTCGCTTACCACCAGGCTCACGACTTTCTTTCAATTCTTTATTGCACTTACTATGGTAACATATTACATATTACATTACTATGGTTACAGTATGCTGTAACAATGGATGAAAATACCTTTAAGCTAAGTTAACAGCGCATTAAAAACCCTATAGGGCCCTGCAAATTATATTTAGAGAGAGAGAGAGAGACAGAGAGAGAGAGAGAGAGAGAGAGAGAGGATTTACTCTTTAACAACATTTTGAAATTTAAAAATGTTCCTTATTCGTCCCATCACTCAGTATAATAAAAAAAGTATAATAACCTAACCTTACCTAACACGGCATGCTCCAGCAACTTCAGTAAACAGTCCAAAATAAAAAAGAATTCTCCACATTATCGTTCGATAGACTGACTGTGTTCCATAAAAACATGAGTAGCTCATTATAAAACATGTACCACTCGTAAATAACAATAAATGTACTGAAAATGGCGAATTGTTACCGCGCATGCAATAGTTTAAGTGAGTGTGTACACATGATACAGCTTACGGTTGTAATGGTCGTAACTGGATAATGTAACTGTGACAGTGCATGTAGTAGGTAGTAGATGCTGAACGTTATGTTAGAGAAGATTATTTTCGATGAAACAGTTAAAGGATTCTTAGGTTTTAGAAATTGCTAGATTCTACAGCTCTATGATAGAATGCAACATGTGCCACTGTAAATGTTCACAATAGGGGTCTTTCCCTTCAGAATTAAGAGTCTATACCACCTCATATGGCTTTGGTTGATTCCGCTTAACACTGAAAGCGTTGAATTTTCACTTTGAAAAAGCTATACAGTAAAATTGAGGATGTACACTGATTACTATACGGATAATTTGGATAATTCACGTATATTTGTTTTTTCAAACAAACCAACGTATCGTTTTTCCTTTGATATAAAATTCCAAGCACACATACGAACGCTAAAATAAAATATTTTGCAATTAGCATTTTGCGTAAATTAGAATGTTCTTTGGAGAATTAAAACTGTGGTATCTATTTCAATATCTAAACAAAAAAATAAGTATTCGCTATTTAGATCCGAAAGAACAGCTTAATTTTCAATAATATTTTGTTATTGAGTAGTTCAATTTGGGTTTGAGGTAACGTATATGTGGGAATCAGTAACAATTGATTATTATAAGTTAGTTTTTTGCCTTTGCCTTTTGATTTAACTACAGACTCGTGGAAATAAATCCCTTTTGTTCTAATTGTTAGTGCAATTGTTAAACTGCGGCAATTTGACTCCACTTCTAGTTGTCAAGTGTCGACGTCTTCATTAATCGATATGTAGATGTTAACAACTGTTTTTATGAAGTCTAAGTGTGCGGCAAACACGCGTTGCATCTCTCGGATGCAGTGCGTGCGCGCCGATGCGCGGACTTTCTCTCCCCTTCCCCCTAACGCGCGCCATCTTGCAGCGGCGAGGCGCGGTTCGTGCGCGTCCGCAGATGACGAGCGGCCGCGGCCCAACCTCGTCAACAAGCAGCCCGTGCTCCCTTTCGTGCCGCCGGCCTTCCCGCACAACGCGCCCGATCGCCTAATCAAGCCTTCGGAGTACTTGAAAACCATCACGGCGCCCTGCAAGCGCGATGACGCCGCGGCGGAGGCCCGCCCTCCTCCGCCGCCGCCCGTCCCGGACAATGTCCCGCCACCGCCCCCGCAGCCCCCCCTTATGGCGCATCAACCCTTAGCGGCCATAAGCAGTGCTGAACTTTCAGCTGTACGACTCCGGACTCCAGCTACGAAGACCTTATCGGCACCAGCCAGATCTGTCAGTCTACAATGTTTGGCTACCACTGCAGAGACAAATTACAGAAGCGCCAAAACGGATCTGATCGAGGAACTGAAGATGTCCAAGGATATAACTGGAATAAGGAAGCTGAAGGTGGAACGTGCAAGGAGGGAGAGCCTGCAGGACAAGGAAACATTCACGGAGTTTACTAAACGATTCACTGCAGACAATTTTGTCGACCAGGTTAGTGAATTTTACTTAAGCCTTCATTTTAATTTGACTGGTGCACATACTTGAGTAACTTTCCCTGATTATCGGATAACTATTCGATAATATCTTTTACTGATTCAATCTTTACTCTACTGCTTACATTTGGTTTATCTCTTTTGATATGAAAAAGCGGCTTTTTTGTTCAAATAACTTGAAGTGGCAATTTCTTATATGCTATTAATTCTACATCGAACTATAGTACAGTATGCAGAAACAAACATTAAGCTGGAAATAGGAAAAGTAATATGTCACCAGCCGTAGTAACAAATCATTAGAATACGCAAGTTTCCAAATGGAATCCTATAAAAACAATGGCGTTGATGACAAGAAACTGTCGACTCAGAAAATTTCCGCGAAGTGCAGTTGCATCCGTGCATTTAACCTAGTAATCTATTTCACCATAGGGTTGCCACCATATTAAAATACAAGTTTTTAATAATATGACAACTTGCAACATGAAATAACAATGACTCTTAATTAGTAACAGTACGAAAAATTCGTTCAAACTTTACAAAAATGTTTATGTTTTTGTCAGGGATTTTTATTTGTTTCCATGAAGGACATTCAACATAGTTATTTCGCTGTTATATAAGAAATAATCATCTTAAACCTGTACAGTAATGGGCACTATTCTCCTTGTTATAAAGAACGTATTTGGATTTTGGCATCCAAACTTATTATTCTTTGAAAAATGTCAATAACACTGATTTTGTTTAACAGTAAAACTGAAACTAAATAAGATATCAAAAATAAGGGGTTGTAGATCTCGTTTTCCTGTTTCCAAATATGTAAACTAATATCAATTGTCCATAACGTTGTCTATGATAAAGATGACAGAAAAGATGGAAATACAAAAAACAGCAAATAACGTGGAAAGCATTATCTTCTCTTTCATTTACGTAAAATTTGTCAAAGAACTACAATAAAATATACAACAATATTGCACAGGTTGGCAACCCTATTCTCCCCCCGTGTACAGCCAAGAGATAGCTCTCGTTCTGTGTAATGGCCGTGAAATGCGGCGTGACTGGCATTTTTGACGAAAACTGCTTAACTTAATGAGTTTAATTTACTTTGGAACATTAATATTAATGAAACGGGTTGATTACATTGTAAAACGACATCTCTATTGAAATGAATAATTAAACCGCAAAATAACTAGCTCGTAGATAGGAATGATTGAAAATAAAAGACAAAAAATCAAAACATAATAGTTATTTATATACATTTGTAAACACTTTAATGTAAACAAAAAAATTATATATGTTAATATCTATGTAAAATGTAAGTAAACAAAGGCGAACTTATCCCGTAAAGTGATTTCTTCCAAGTCACTTTTAAATAACTCAGAAGAAAGTTAGTTCATGAATTGGCAATATAAAAATAATGAATGCTACATACTCAAACATTACACAGATAAATAACTTACATAATATAATACGTATATACGAATACATCCAATTTACTTCCAGTAAACGTGATTTAACGTCTGGATTACGTACGTACAAATATGAGTTTTCATGGTGCGTTTTCAATACGCTGTTATACCGATGATACCGGGTTAGATGCACCACTTTTTGAAAAGGCCTCCTAATTTAAAAATTATTAGTTTACCATGAATAATTCCTATGGATATAACTACTTTTATCTTTTACATTACGTTAAGACTTGATTTTATTGATCTAACATTTATTGATTTTAAAGAAATTGACTTGTCGCAAACCTATTCTTTTGAAGATATATGTCTACCTATATGAATAGACGCCACACGATGTAAATACATACTAAGAAGGATAGATGGTCTTTAGAATAAAATTAGTAAAATTCATAAAAAAATGTTTTATTCGTAATCTTTAATACAATATTGTATATACATGTTACATCTTTAGTAATACATATATACGTATTTAAAGTTACTACCTATTTCACTTCGCATTTATGTAGCTACCAAAACATTCTATACAAAAATGTTCGCTATTAGAATTGTGAATAATTTGTCAATAAATTTATTATAAACCAAATTTCCCGATCAAATAATTTTAACAAATTCAGCCATTAAGTGGCCAGCTCGATCATGTGATTTAACACTGCTGGATTATTTTTTATGGGGTTATGTCAAAGACAGAATCTATACGGAGCCAATGGAATCGATTAAAACTCAAAATTCGAGAAGTGAAAAAGATCCACCATTTTGTCAAGTGATTAAAAACTTTAATGCAGGAATCGACATTAGATATCAGTTTTCATTCATAATTGACAAACCTTTTTTTTTAATACGATAAAAATTTGAATCATTGTCATCTAAATTTATTATTTAATTTTGATTTACAAAACAAAGTTCTTGTTGAAAAACCCTTTACAATTCATTTTTTGCATTTCAGTTTCAACTTTGTGTTTTGAGATAAGTGTTTGAGAATGTAAGGCGACAAAATATTTCTATTTGATAAGTAGTATCAGGGGTTTTTGTAGCTGTAATTATTACTACATCCCTTTATGACTCAATATTTGTAACGTGTAGCTATCTAATACCATTTTTGCGACCTATTTATTCAGTAACAGCGTCGATGTACTCGTGCGTGAAATCGATTGACACAATTTATATTATGTAAAAGTTAGCACGAGTATGTTGGTTTCGTGTCGGTTATTGCAAACTTGCAAACGACTCTATTAGTTTACCATTTGTAAATTATTAACAGCTTACCATCGATTTTGAAAACTGTTTAAATTGAAAATATGTTAAATTAAGTTTTCGTAAGCTTACAATATTGCTTCAGACACCATAAGTACTAACATTGGTACATAGATACTGTGTAGATAATACTTGCGACATCAACTTTGTTTTTTTTTTATAAGGCAACAAACTTAATTCTGAAATTATTTTTGTAGTTGTTTAATTTAAAATCATATACAAACAATAAATAACTAAATATTAGACAACATCACGTACGTTGGTCTGATCCCAAAGGTACTTTTAGCGTTGTTTTTTTTTATTTTTTTTTATAATACCAAGTGACAGGACGAAGAAGTCGTGGGCCTAGTGGTAACCGACAAGTTGCAGTGCCACTCAGAGTTTTAAAAACGCAAAGATCAGAGGAGCACTGCCACTGTGCGGTCACCTTGAGACATAAGTTAATAAATCCCATGTGCAGAGGCAGAAGTAAGTAAGGTGGCAGTACTTTTCTGGACGAACTCTTACACAAGGAGCTTTACTGCTACGAAAACTGTGTTATTGAAATTGGAAACATCGATGGTACACCCAGACCCAAGACGATATAGAAAGGTAGTTTTCTATATTGTTACATTGACTCGGCCGGGAATCGAACCCGGGACCTCAGAGATTGCCACACCACAAAAATCGGTGTGCATGCCACTCCACACGGAGGTAGTCAAACACACATAACGTATCGTTGTCGTTAATAGATCGTCCAAATTCAAGTGTTTCTGGATCTTTGTGATCTACAGTCGAAGACCAGCGAGCGAAGAGAGCGTAATTTTCTTGATTTCCACACAAAAAGAGCAATTTACCCAAGTTTCGAATTTCGAGCTGTAACCTGACATATTAAAAAGCCACCATATTGTCTATGAAAAAAAATAATAATTTGAAAATTTTAGCGCGCATATTAAAATTTGCAGAACTGTAAAAATAGGAAAATAATAGAGATTGCAGGGGGCTTACCACAACCTCAAAACCTTAAAACAATATTACTTTAACCTTACATTGACTTTTCGTACCATAACGCGCTTAAAGTAAACTTTTTGTAATGTTAAAACTATGATGTTTTATTGACAGCTTTGTTCATTCATTCACTCAATTCGTACTATAACGCGACTTTTACGTCATTAAAGTAATATTGCTCTTATGTCAAATTTAGCAATCTTAAAATGTGTAACCATTTGATTCGGATGCAATGGAAACAATGTTATTTTCAGTTTTATTGTCTTAATATTGATTCGTAGTGATTAAAAGTTAAGTTGAACTTATTTATTTACATATATCTCTTCAATATTTTGTTTATTTTTTATTTAATAGCGCATGGGAAATAATTTCTCGTTAAATAAAAATAGGCGATGTTTATTTCGTAAAATTATGACATCTATATGCTTCTTGGCGAAACTAAAAGTTGATATTAGACTATAGTTCCGAATTCACAACGTGACTATCAAGACTCAGCTTGTTTTATTTATTTTTTTTCTAAAATATGCGGAATAATTATTGAAAACAACGTAATTTTAATAGATTTTATTATTACATACTTTTCTTCTCTTAACAGTAAAAATTCTCTGTATGTGAATAACATTAAGTACTTAAACACTATACTACGATAAGATGATTCGGAACATCAAAAAATAAACAGATGGCATTATATAGTTCACATCGCGTTATCTCTTTCCTATTTTTAGTAAGGAATAGACAATATTGAGAAATCATTCTTTCTTTCAATCACTTTTGCAATAATAATAGGGGTTAAAGTATGAAATTGCCGATTTGTACTGAA